GTGGCCACCCCCCCCACCCCACCCCACCCCAGGGGAAGTCATTTCTCACTTTCCTTCTCACTGTCTCTGTGACTCCCTCTGGTCAGCACAGAGACCCTATGGCAAAAATATTAAAGAGAGAGAGAAATCCCCCTGGTGACATGAAAGAGCCTATTTATAGCAACATCGAACAATTATGTATTTCTTTTTTTTTTTTTAACGAGGTTTTCATTTATTTATTTTTTTGCTATAGGGCGTGTGCGCTCGCCAGAAAGACAGAGAGAGACAGAGAGACAGAAAGCGAGAAATCACCCGCCAGGGGGGGGATGGCCACGCCACAGTCCCTTCTCCTCCATTCTCCTCTCGGGATCTTGGGCACGCACGCACACGCGCCCGGTGTGAGTTTAAGTCACCAGGTCCAGGACTTAAATTGCGGTTGACTACGTGTGAGTCCAGCGACATAGCCATTATGCTAACTGCTGGTCCCAATTATGTATTTCTTTAAAAAAAATAAGAATTATTTGAGCTGGCTGATGGCATAGTGGTTATGGACATTCAGCTCCCACATGGCCAACTGTGGTTTGAGTCCAGACCTAGCAGTTTTCTTTCTCACAATCCACCCTCCACCCTGCTCTGGCCCTCTCTGGTCAAAGTTAAGAAATAAATAAAATTGAATTAAAAGAAGAATTATTGAGTCCTCAGGTCCAGGACTCAAATCGCGATTGGCCATGTGGGACTGCAGCTCCCCATCCACCACGCCACCTGCTGGCCCCTGTTTTTCTGAATGTCATGGATGCGACACATAGAAGTGTGAATGCTTTGGTCACCAGAGAAGGCTTAGATGTTTTTGTCCCCCTATAAAGTAGGTGACCTCATTTTTATAAACCTGGTGTGAATTTCAAGCCATAGCAAAGGCAAAAATAGCTGAGGTGAAAAGTAATTCAAGTCTTCCCACTGCATACTGTCCAACTTGCCTGAATAGTTAAGTAACTTACCCTGGATACCACTTAGCATGTTGTTCCCAAGGGTCTTCGCTGGGCTTCCAATCAGTTAGCCCTCCTCCACAGTGAAAGCACTTTACTTTATCACCTTCACCTAAGAAAACACACACGTAAAAACATATGTATTTATGCAATTAGAAGCTTACATAAAAATTCCCATTTTAACACCTAAGAATTAAGCAAGTATAAATTACATAAAAATCTTATAACTTAAACATTCAAACTCACATCTTTTAGAAAAAATATGATTCAAATTCACATCTAATTAATAGATACGATCTTTGTCATTTGAGGAGGAAATAAGACATAAATTCACCAACTCAATCACTGGTGTTATACAGAAGACAAAAATAAAATTGCCCAATTTTTATGTCAAAAATGACAACTGTTACATTCTTTTCAATGCATGTCATTTGGGCCATCATTATTGTACTTACTTGAAACTTTAACACAAGTAATAGTTCATGTAGTGATAACAATAAAGTTCAGCATAATGAAATGATAAGTTTCTATAAGTTTACTGGTGTGTGACACTAAACAAACCTTCAAGATTACTGTATGATGCTCTATTAAGTAGTCATTTGAAAGAACTTGTATTATGCATTTGGCACTATTCAACCCCACAATAAATGGGTCAGGCATATAATGGTATAGTTTAATATCCCTATAAGCAACTGCACTAATGGCCCTTCCTTTCATGTCTATAGCAGGGTCTTCGCTGGGCTTCCAATCAGTTAGCCCTCCTCCACAGTGAAAGCACTTTACTTTATCACCTTCACCTAAGAAAACACACACGTAAAAACATATGTATTTATGCAATTAGAAGCTTACATAAAAATTCCCATTTTAACACCTAAGAATTAAGCAAGTATAAATTACATAAAAATCTTATAACTTAAACATTCAAACTCACATCTTTTAGAAAAAATATGATTCAAATTCACATCTAATTAATAGATACGATCTTTGTCATTTGAGGAGGAAATAAGACATAAATTCACCAACTCAATCACTGGTGTTATACAGAAGACAAAAATAAAATTGCCCAATTTTTATGTCAAAAATGACAACTGTTACATTCTTTTCAATGCATGTCATTTGGGCCATCATTATTGTACTTACTTGAAACTTTAACACAAGTAATAGTTCATGTAGTGATAACAATAAAGTTCAGCATAATGAAATGATAAGTTTCTATAAGTTTACTGGTGTGTGACACTAAACAAACCTTCAAGATTACTGTATGATGCTCTATTAAGTAGTCATTTGAAAGAACTTGTATTATGCATTTGGCACTATTCAACCCCACAATAAATGTCTCAGGCATATAATGGTATAGTTTAATATCCCTATAAGCAACTGCACTAATGGCCCTTCCTTTCATGTCTATAGCAGTCCCTTTGTAAAGCACTCACTTGAAGCAGTAAGACATAATGCTGGATACTTTTCAAATACACAGTGTATATATGTCAATTTTAATATAAGCCAAACTAAATTCTCTCATGTTAACTCTTTTAATAGGATTGTTGTGAGGCATAGAGAAAATGTGCATAATATATGTGTTGAGCATATATAGGAGGTGCTAAATAAATGACAGTGAAGTTTCTTTTTGGTTTTTGTATTTTTTTAGTTTTGCTACAAGGCATGCACTTGCCAGGAGGAGAGAGAGGGAAAGTGAGAAATCAACTCCTGGGGGGTGGATGACCTCGCTGCAATCCCTTCTCCATTCTTCTCTTGGGGTTTTGGGCATGCATGCACGTGCACCGGGCATGTTTTTCAAGCTACTGGTCCAGGACCTGAACCACGCTGTCAGCCATGTGGGATCCAGCTGTCTTAATAACCACCATGCCTCAGGCTGGCCCAATAGGTAATTTTACTATTAGTCCCATAATTTTATCAGGAATATTGACCACCTATTGCTCGTCATCCCTCTCCTAACACAATTACATGAAGATAAACATAACTCATAACACGGTACGCTTTTCACATAAATTCAGTAGGTACATTTCAGATTCAACCTACGAGTTCACAGGATGATACTGATATAAACAGTTATGCCAGCTTATACTGAAATATTTACCAGTTCGGGGACTAAAAGCATCTGTTTACTTTTTAGGCTCCTTCCCTGGGATAGCTGGAAAGTTATTTATTGGTTTTATAATAATGTTTACCTAAAGCATAAAATCCAGCTCTTGCAAGCTGCTCCTTGTTAACTGAGTATATCCACGTCCCAAAAGTAATGATCCGTGCTTCGTAATCTGCCATGGCTGGATTTCTTGGATGTTGTGTTGAATTTGGGAAATTTCTATCAGAACTCACAATATCAGATTCACTTCGAATATTAATGTTCCGGCCCAAAACAAAGAAGCAATTAGGAAAATGTCGCCTGTGTTCTGACCATGCACGATCACAAGGTTCCCAGTTTTTCAGTTTTCCACCACAACAAAAGCACTGCACTTGATCATCAATACCCGTGTAGTAGAGTCCAGCATTAGCTAGCTCTCTTGGGGTTAAGTGGGCATAGTCTGGCCAGTTCTGAAATGACTTTAATCTAGCTTCCTCACTACACATGGCAGGATTTCTTGGGTAAATGGTGTCTGATATATCTACGACCTGTCCAGTTCTCAAAAGATAGTCTGCATGAGTCTCAGATGGCCTGTCTAAAGCAAAATGATTTCTGCTTCCCAGGTAGTTTTCACCTTTGTACTGACCATTCTGGACACCAGAATTTGTAGGTTGTGCGGCACTGTTTTCAAAATAAAAGCCGTTGATAAATCTGCAATTTGGGGATACTTTCCTGTGTCTTCCAACTGCAGAGTCTCCATATTGCCACCTATCTACTGCTGCATGACAACTAAAGCACCGCACAGTATCTCCTTCACCAGTATAAAGAAAACCGGCTCGTGCCAGTGTCGATGCTGAGACAGGACTACTACTTGGAAAATTAGCAAAAGTTTTTAATCTATTAAACTCTTCTACAAATTCTTCATCCTTATTGATGTCTGCAGGTACACAAGTTTTAGATCCTTCAAAACTGTTAAAAGTCATCTTCTCTTGAAAATAGGACTTGTCCACCTTTTCTAAAAAGAGAACATTACATTAGTAAAACCAAAATGTGAAACATAAGCAATACACTTTAGATATCAGGAACTAACAAATCATCCAATGGTGAAATAAAAACAATGACATAATCTAAATCACTTTCCAGTTCTAGAACTCTACATTACTACACGATTCAAATCATAACATGAAATCTAGCATTTTTGTTTTCTCTTTTTGAGGAAAGCAATTCTTAACCAACTAGAACAGAACGATTAATTTTTCAAGTGCTTATTTTACATAAATAAAAAACTATGTGATGCAGAATATATTATAATTATTAACCATGTAAAGTCATTAAGAGAAACATGAAAGATGCATTAAAAATGCAGATTCTTAAAAATCTATGCATAATTGTTATAATGGATCCTGGTATATTCGAGGCATCAAAGTTTGGTTTTTAACAATTTTAAAAAAAGAATGTTCAGAATGTTAATGATTTAATTTTTAATATTTCTTTATTTTTTGGCTTAGTAAAAGGTACATTTTATTCGCAATACTGGTTCCAATGTATTATTTAAGAACACAAATGTTTCTGGTTCTCGTGAATAAACAAGAGTCCATTTTTTCATTGGAACTGGATCATTCCAGATAGAAGAGGTCTTCGTGAAGTTCATGGAAAATGTGTATGATGAAAAATATGCACGGATTTAAACATTTTTTTTACGTTAAAATAAACTTATATGAGAGGGACTCAAAACGTCTGTGGAAAAGTAGAATTAAAGTATGAGTTTATTTTGGTGCCAAAAAGATTGAAATCCATACACAGCTATTTCATAATACATATTTTTCATGAACTTTTTGAAGACCCCTTTTGTGTATATGTACTACTGCCCTCTACAGGGTGGCTCAGGAAAAATCCTAAGTATTTGCAGACTGGAGACTACAAACTGCATTTACTTTTGTTATCAACTTCCCTTGGTCAAGGAACAAACTGTTCAAAAGAAAGAGAAGTACTATTGCAGCCTCACCAGAGCTGCCAAACTATAGATGTGTAACATTTAATCCAGATAAAATACTAAATAAAGGGAACTGGGGAGTTACTAGAAGTGTGCCGAGATAACTAACACTCCAAACCCAGACGCATTTTAAAGTGAAAAGACATTACACTGGAACAGATGTAAATCAGGGTTCTCCCAGGAAAGCCAGATCATATGGTCACCCTTGCTATGGGGCAAACCTGGGTCTCTAGAATCCCCACATGGCCTGATACTGTGCTCAGAATATGCTTGTCAAATGCAACATGGTCACAATGACTGTCTCTACTTCATATCCACATTAACTGACTTCTTGGGAGGAATCAGCCAACTCTTCTGGCACTGTATTGGCACAATATGCCCCAGAATATCACCTCTCTTGGAGTAATTCTCAACACGAGGCTTCTCTCTTGCAAGCTGGTGATAGATTTCAGTCACTCCTGGCCTTGTCAATGTGCAGTAGTATTAGTTTATATATACCTCGAGAGCTGAATTATATCTGCATATGATAACTTTCGGAACACAGTTCCCCTAACTTTTGATTAATCGTCATTTCCCAGATTGTCTGAAAACATTCTGAATTAGCTTCAGGATCTTTGTTGAATCAAAAAAGAATCAAGATTCAAAGAAACTAAGGCTGGCTGATAAGCTAGAGACACAATTTAATACGGGTAAGTGTAAAGTCTTACATTCTGGTTTTACTTATTTATTTATTTTTGGAGAGTTTTTTTTGCCTTAGGTTGCTTGTACTAGTCAGAGAGAGAGAGAGACAGAGATAGTGAGAGGGAAAGTGAGAAATCACCCCCAGGGGGATGGCCATACCACAATCCCTTCTCCCCCTGGGAATTGGGCATGCACACACACATGCCCGGCATGATTTTCAAGCCACTGGGTCCGGGATTCAAACTGCGGTTGGCCATATGGGAGTCTAGTGACATAACCACTATACCATCTGCTGGCCCCACATTCTGGTTTTAAAATATCTGTTGCTGAGCTGGCTTTGTGGCTAATTGTAAAGGAAGCGAGGTCTCACATGGCCATTTGGTTCAAACCTTGGTACCTACAGTTTGGAAATTTCATGAGGCACATGTGCATGCATGCCCAAAACCCCAACAGGGTGGAGAAACGGAGAAGGGACTGTGGTGTGAGCACACGCCATTGGAGGATGCTTTCTTCCTCTCTCTCTATCTTTGGAGAATGTACATGCCCTCTGACAAAAACAAACAAACAAACAAATCTGTTGCACAACTAAAGGAAGAAGGAGCTTGGCTCGGAAAGCAGTCATATGAAGGCAAACCTCCAGATTTAAACCTAGGGCTTTTTAGTTAGTTACACATTCATAATAAGCCAACATTTCATGGCTGCTAAAAACCTTAGAGCAACTGGCACCAGCAGTTGGCATAATGGCTATGGCGCTGGACTCCCAGGTAGTCGACTGGTTTGAATCCTGGACCCAGTGGCTTAAACTCACGCTGGGTGCATGTGCGTGCGTGCCCAAGATCCCGAGAGGAGAATGGAGGAGAAGGGACTGCGCGGCATGGTCATCCCCCCTGGGGGGTGATTTCTTGCTTTCTGTCTCTCTGTCTGTCTCTGTCTTTCTGGCAAGCGCACATGCCCTATAGCAAAAACCTCTCAAAAACAAAACAAAACAAAAAACCACACACACACACACACACACACACACACAAACTTAGAGCAACTTCAAGCTGCATTAGTGTCCAGATGTGAAACATCCAGATTCAATTCAGTACATAATGAATATCATTTCCAGTTCCGAACACATTTTGGAAGGAATGTTAACAACTTTAATGTCCTTAAAGAGCAATCGGGATGATGAAAATGATACCATATGAGGAATTGTGGGAAGAACTGAGGATGTCTATCCTAAAGGGGGAAAATCATTTGTGAGGGGAAGTGTGGAGGAAACAGAGTAAGTACCTTAAGGTATCTAAAAGGCCATCATGTACAAAGGGATCTGAATCCTGTGCAGCTTGAGGGCAGAATTACAGTCAGTGAATATAACTATAACCACAAAGGGATCCCTGTGCAGCTTGAGGGCAGAATTACAGTCAGTGAATATAACTATAACCAGTAGATTTTTTTTTTAATATGAGGATGAATTTACAACAATCAATAGCACATAAAAAGACTGGATTGTTTTACAGATTATGAGATGTTCCCATCATTGAAAAGGACTTTAGCATAGATCAGGAGACCAGGTTAAACATTGCCAAACCTATAATTAGCCTGAATAATTAATGCTCAATATAATCTCATACGCATGAAAATTACCTTTCCTGAGGGGATAAATTTTATTCCTCAGGTCAGTCAAAATACAAGATTAAAATCAAAGATCTATTCTTACTTCCCAGTGGTGGATATTTTGTGTAGTTCAAGTAGTCACCCCATTTTAGATAATAATGGATAAAACTCCATCATTCACCATGAGGAGGAGAATCTCTACTTGAAGCTTTCAAGTGGAGACCTCATCTTCCCAGGGGTTATTTTCATGCTAATGGTTCAGGTTTCACTGTTTTAAAAGCAGGTATTTATCCCAAAGCACTCAGCTGAATACTACGTATGTATTATGAGTGTGAGCTCTTGGACGAGGGTGAGAAAACAAAATTATCAGAGATGTTAAGAATGAAAGGAGAGGAGCTGGCAGGTGGCATGGTGGTTAAGGTCACTGGACTCCCACATGACTGACAGCGGTTTGAGTCCCAGACCTGGCGGTTTGCTTAAAAACCTTAGAGCAACTGGCACCAGCAGTTGGCATAATGGCTATGGCGCTGGACTCCCAGGTAGTCGACTGGTTTGAATCCTGGACCCAGTGGCTTAAACTCACGCCGGGTGCATGTGCGTGCGTGCCCAAGATCCCGAGAGGAGAATGGAGGAGAAGGGACTGCGCGGCATGGTCATCCCCCCTGGGGGGTGATTTCTTGCTTTCTGTCTCTCTGTCTGTCTCTGTCTTTCTGGCAAGCGCACATGCCCTATAGCAAAAACCTCTCAAAAACAAAACAAAACAAAAAACCACACACACACACACACACACACACACACAAACTTAGAGCAACTTCAAGCTGCATTAGTGTCCAGATGTGAAACATCCAGATTCAATTCAGTACATAATGAATATCATTTCCAGTTCCGAACACATTTTGGAAGGAATGTTAACAACTTTAATGTCCTTAAAGAGCAATCGGGATGATGAAAATGATACCATATGAGGAATTGTGGGAAGAACTGAGGATGTCTATCCTAAAGGGGGAAAATCATTTGTGAGGGGAAGTGTGGAGGAAACAGAGTAAGTACCTTAAGGTATCTAAAAGGCCATCATGTACAAAGGGATCTGAATCCTGTGCAGCTTGAGGGCAGAATTACAGTCAGTGAATATAACTATAACCAGTAGATTTTTAACTCAATATGAGGATGAATTTACAACAATCAATAGCACATAAAAAGACTGGATTGTTTTACAGATTATGAGATGTTCCCATCATTGAAAAGGACTTTAGCATAGATCAGGAGACCAGGTTAAACATTGCCAAACCTATAATTAGCCTGAATAATTAATGCTCAATATAATCTCATACGCATGAAAATTACCTTTCCTGAGGGGATAAATTTTATTCCTCAGGTCAGTCAAAATACAAGATTAAAATCAAAGATCTATTCTTACTTCCCAGTGGTGGATATTTTGTGTAGTTCAAGTAGTCACCCCATTTTAGATAATAATGGATAAAACTCAAACATTCACCATGAGGAGGAGAATCTCTACTTGAAGCTTTCAAGTGGAGACCTCATCTTCCCAGGGGTTATTTTCATGCTAATGGTTCAGGTTTCACTGTTTTAAAAGCAGGTATTTATCCCAAAGCACTCAGCTGAATACTACGTATGTATTATGAGTGTGAGCTCTTGGACGAGGGTGAGAAAACAAAATTATCAGAGATGTTAAGAATGAAAGGAGAGGAGCTGGCAGGTGGCATGGTGGTTAAGGTCACTGG